CTGCCCGACGTGCACCTGTCGGATGCGCTGGAGCTCCTTCGGCCCGGGCGACGGGTGGGGCTGCGAGCTGTGCCCCGCGGGCGGAGCTGACAGCGGAGCCCTGCGGTGGCAGTGCAAAGGGTGCGACGTGAGCTACTGCGAGGCCTGCCGCGTCGGCTACGGCAAGCCCAAGACGCTGGTGGAGAAGGCCCGGCAAAGCGACCACGCCGAGCGGGAGGCGCCAGGCCCCAGCTCCGGCCGCGGGGGGCTCCCCAGCGCGGGAGCGGCGAGCGCGGGTGCCGAGGTGGACCGCCCGCCGGGCGACCTCAGCTGGCCCAAGCGCGAGAGGTCGCCCAGCGTGAGCCTGGCGAGGGACCCAGCGTGGGCGCACCGCAGCGATACCCCCCCCGGCCGCACGCGGCGTAAGACCGGGAAGCACGCAGGGCAGCTTCGTGCTCCCCGAGGCGGCTGGTACGAGCAGGAGAAGAAGAGGAGGCGTGCTGCGGCTGCCGCAGCCGAGGCCGCCGCCGGCGGGGGGGGGATCCCAGCCTGGCGCGGCAAGGGCTCGGGCGACAAGAGCGGCAAGGGCGCAAAGGGCAAGGGCAAGCACGCCAGTACGACTGCCAAGGGCGCCAAGGGCCGCGGCAAGGACAACAAGGGCGGCAAGGGCAGCTACTCCAAGGGCGACCAGGGCAGCCGCGCCCCGAGCGAGCGCGCCAGGGGCGGCGCGGGCAGCCGCGCCTCGGGCAGCGCGGGCCGCCGCGAGAGGGGCGGCGATGGCGGCAGCCCCCGCAGCCGCAGCGGTCGTGACGGGAACCGCAGCGGCGACGAGGGCCGTGGCCGCCAGGGGGACACGCCATCCATCTAGGCGCGGCACCCACCCCACAGGCCAGCGCCCGCGGTACCGCGGGCTGCGGGCGGCAGGCAGCGGACCGCTGTGAGGCGGACCGCCACACGGTGCCAGGCCCGTGAGTGAGAGGTTGAGTTTTGGGCGTGGCACGCACGTCGAGTTGCCACGCGGCCCCCTTCTTCCTGCGCCCTGCGCGGGCGGGGCCCCACTTGCGCTCTGCGCCCGGCGCGTCATCGCGCCGCCTCGTTCTCTCTTTCTTTACTTTGCGCGCTTCGCGCACGCGCCGCGCCCGCGCTCTGGGTGCGCGGGGCGCGGAAGGCCTCAAGGATGCAGGCTAGTGGCCGCGCGCTCGAGGCTCACCGGGCCTCGGGATCCGCCCTCGTGCCTCTGGCTGGGCGTTCCCGCGCGCGTTGCTGCGCTCTTTCTTTCTCGTGGCCGTGCCGCCGCAGGCGTGCCAGAGCGCGAGCGCGTGGGCCGTCAGGGCCCACGCGCACGCGCCGGGCGTGGGCCGTCAGGGCCCACGCCCGGGTGGAGGTGCGCGTCGCCACGCTGCCATGAGTAAAATATCCTCGCCTCGTCCCTGTCTCCTTCCTCTCCTCCTCCTCCCCCCCTCCGTTGAGTGCACGCGTATCTCACTTAACTTGTATAGTCTGATGGGTTTGTAGACTGCAGGTTAAGTGGGAGGGGGTGTGGGCTCAGGTAGCCATTTTGGGTCCGTAGCGTTCGGCTCAGGCCGACGCGCGGGTGCCCACCCACCCCGCTTTGCTCCCTGACGCCTGGGCCGTGCGGCCGCAGGCGTGCCAGAGCGCGAGCGCGTGGGCCGTCAGGGCCCACGCGCACGCGCCGGGCGTGGGCCGTCAGGGCCCACGCCCGGGTGGAGGTGCGCGTCGCCACGCTGCCATGAGTAAAATATCCTCGCCTCGTCCCTGTCTCCTTCCTCTCCTCCTCCTCCCCCCCTCCGTTGAGTGCACGCGTATCTCACTTAACCATCTATTGCACAACAGAAATTGCACCACAAAGGTTGCTCCACATAGACTGCACAACATGTATGACTAGAAACACAAGGTTCTGGATCCACGCTGGCTAACATTAAATACAAGAAACTCGAACATATCTGTACGACCACCCTTCGGGTGATAAGAAGGTTGTAAGGGAGGAGGGGGTGGCAACTGGTGGCAACTGCGACGATTGTGATGGTGACAACGCGGCTGATGCGCTCACAAATCGGCGACGATGCGTGATGACGGCGCTGGTGAGACCAGTGGGCACCACTGGGGCACCACTGGGGCAGCATCAGGGCACCATCGGTACACCATCGAAACACCATCGGACAGAGCACCTGAAAACACTGCTGAGGCAAACAAATGGCAACATCGCAATCCACGATTTATCTACCAGTCTCCTTATCCATGTGTACCACTATTCACCCCGCAATCGATCCCACTATCTGCGTAGCGATCTCACTATCGATCTCGCAATGGATTCCACTATCGATTTGCCACTATCAACTAACAATCGGTGATTGCCTCACCACCATCATGGCGGGAACTAAATGGCACTAATTACCGCCACCACTGCCATCGCCAGTCCCACGATCGATCCACCGATACGAGACACCGCGAGACACCACTGAACAACAAACAAGGCCAAAGGCACCACGAGAGACACCACGGGACACCAGGGGAAAAAAACATTCGATACCACAATCGATCTCACTCGATCAACCGATATCACTATCTATCGACCTCACTGTCGATTTCACTTTGGATCTCATTACTGGTCTCATTCAACCGATCCCGCTGTAGATCTATCACAATCGATCTCACAATCAATCCCGCTAGCGATGTCACAATCGACCTCCACGGACTACCACGGGACACCGCGGAACACCGCGCCACGGGACACCACCGAACACCACGGGACACCACGGGACACCGGCGGGACACCCCCGCGGGCCACCGCCTGCCAACCAGGGGGAGGAGAGAAATTGAGCCTGGTTTCGCCCTAGCCAGGGCGGGATTATTCCTCTCGCCCGCCCACGCGCTGCGCCCCGCCCGCACGCGCGACACGAAACCGAAAGCGATTTCCCGGTGGGGGGCTCTCCGTTTCACTGCGATCTCACCCCCCAAACCCCGATGGTACAGCTGAACGGATGGAGGGCACCTCCGTCTCAGCTCCCGCTGAGACGTACTTGGCGCGCATGGCCAGAAGTGAGATCTTGTGCACGAATTGCCCCAGGTGGGGCGGCCCTTTTTCAAAACGGGGATCTTGCTGGACATCTCGTTGAACTGTATGATCATACCTTTGCGCACTCCGTATTACTCGTTGGAAGAATGCAAGGCAGCTCGTTCCTCTCAAAAGCGGGGTTCTCGCCCCAATGACAGCTCCATAGCGTACGGGTCTTTCAGGGGGACGCTTCTTAAAGTGGAAAGGAAGGTTTGCACAGACTTGCGAGGAGGGGGATTGCAGCTACAGGGGGTACTGCAGCATTGTTGGTTCCTCTTAGAGTTACTCTGGACCTGTGATTCCTCCCCCTCCTCCTCCTCTTCTTCCTCCTCCTCCTCAAATTTGTGTTGTTTCTCTCTCTCTCTCTATATATATATCCTCTCTCTCTCTCGTTTCTTACTCCTCCTCGTCCTCCTCCTCCTCCTCTTCCGCCTTCTCCTCCTCTTCTTCTACACCGTCCTCAGCCCACTTTCCTTCATGTTGAAAGAGGGCGGGGAAAGAGGGGGGGCGGAGGAGGAGGAGGAGGAGAAGGAGGAGGAAAATGGGAAAAGGAGGAAAAGAAGGGGAAAGAGAAGGGGAGGAGGAGGAAGAGGAAGAGGATACCAGAGGAAGAGGAGGAGGAGGAGGAGGAGAAGGAGAAGGAGGAGCAGGAGGAGGAGGAGGAAAAGGAGGAGCAGGAGGAGGAGGAGAAGAAACAGGAGGAAGATGAGGAGAGGGAGGAGGAGGAGGAGGAGGAGGAGCAACAGCAGAAGGAGGCTTCCTTTCCAAGGGGGCTGTGCGTTCGGGAAAGGGGCTTCTGCGGGATCGCTGTGCTCGGCTCGTCCGTTCGGTCGTCCCTCGCACGTTTCGCTGGATTCGTCTCGCGCGCAGGTGCCCCGTTCCAAGGGTCGGGGTCCAGCGCGGCAACGATGTCCGAGATGCCGCTATAGCAGCGATGTCTTTTTTTCGGAGTCCGGAGATGTTCACAAACTCTCGCGCTTCGGCGTCGAGACGTATCCTTGCACTTAGATTTCGCATCAATTTTTGTAGCCCGCCAAAAGAAGGACCCGCTCGGCCAGGACATGGTGTGTCACATCCCCCGGATTGCAGACACGCCGACGCTATGCCCTTGCCACCTCTTGAAGGAATGGTTGGCGCACCGTGACGCGCGCTGGGGAACCGACCCAGATGCGCCGGTGTTACGCACAACTCATTTAGCGGAGCCCCGCGCCATGAGTTGTGATTCCTTCCGCCGAAGTTTTTTGTCCAGTTTTTTCAGAATGCCGCGGTGGGAACGCACTCATTGTGCAAAGGCGGCGCTCACTGGTACAAAGCGGTTTGCAACTTACCAGAAGAGCTGGTGCAGGCTCAGGGCGGTTGGTCAAACCCTGAAACCATGCGAGATTTCTACGCCCGCTTCTCAGATTCAGAGCGGCGCGAACAGCTATTGCGCGCCGTGTCTGCGGTTTCGAATCCCGTGGCGGTGCCAGCCACTACTCAAACCCAGACGCACGTTTGACCCATGCCTCCGTGGAGGCGCCTGGGGCCTGTAAAAACTCGCCTCTTCGGGGTTGCGCCTGGCCGACGCTCCTGGCGACCGTTCCTGGGTCGCCACGGACTTGGGCCAGGCCGGCCTGCAGCCCCATGAGGCACCCCACAAGAGGCATATGTTGCCAGACGCAAGACTGATTTGGACTGTCACAGGGGCCTTGACGGAAATCAATCCCCCTCTCGCTTCTGTCCTTTCCTCCGTGCAGCGAACAAGCAGAAGGAGAAGGAGGAGGAGGAGGAGGAGGAGGAGGAGGACCAGGAGGAGGAGGAAGACGGAGGAGCAGGACAAGGAGGAGGAGGAGGAGGAGGAGGAGGAGGAGGAGGAGGAGGTATGGAAGGACGGACGGACGGACGGACGGGGCGGCGACGACGACGACGACGACGACGACGACGACGACGAGGCGCTGCCCTTGGCCTGGGGACTCGCCGACGGCTGGTTCCCCGACAGCGCGGCAAGGGCTGCCTCGCGGCGCCGCGCGTTCCACCCCCACCACTGCTCTTTCCTGTGTCGGGCAGCGACGAAGGACAGCAGCAAAGCAGTCAAGCTCATCAAGCCGTCTGAGGGCCAACTGGAAGAACCGTGCGGCTCGGGCTGGGGCCGTTAAACCTTTTGTTTGACCCCCCTTTCGACAGTTCGCAATGATGGCAACCATGCTGTTTCATGATACATGCGATGGAGGACGGAAGGGGAGGACTGGCCGCGAACTACTGAGAAAAACTGCAGGCTTTGAAACCCAGATTCTAAAACAGGCTGCGTATTCACCCTCGCTCAGGAAAAGGCTATGCTGGACTGTGGGGGCAGACCGCGCCGCAGTCTGGAGAGGGCTTCCAACCCCTTGGCCGTGAGTGGCATGCATGCTTCACACAGCTTGGCGTCTGAACCTACCTCCTACGGGCTGAACATTTCACCACGCAGAAGTCTCCACCCCTTCACTGGAAGCAACTTCTCATCCTGGATCCATTTCTCATGTCTGTTGGCCCCAGGGCCCGAAAACAGATCCCAGAGACCGAAATCTAAGAAAAGCATAAAGCTTGAAACAAAAACTGCCCTCTTCCTGATGGCCCTGGGTCAATTCGTCGTGCCAGGCTCTTTTTTTGACGGCCCAGGAGCCCGAAGCGGGCCTGCCGGAGACCAAAATCAAATCGAGGAGAAACCGAAAATCGCGATGATTTGATGGTCCGGCGTCGTCTCCCCTCCCAGACCCCACACGGAATGACGTTTTCACAGCCTGCACCCCATGGAGGTCTGCAACCCTTCGCCGGGACCGGCTTTCCATCCCGAGTCCTTTCCTGAGTGCTTTCTGAAAACCCTGGGGCCTGGTAAGGGCTTAAGGAGGCCGAAGAATGCTAAACCCTCCCGCCGTTTTTTTCTCGCGACGCAGAGAAGGTCTGGCATCGAGGGTCAAAGATCGGCGCCCGGACCTGTCCGTGCGTTGCGTTCTGGCCAAGGAGTCTCCGAGGCGGATCCTGCCGCGGCGACGAAAGAGCCTCCAGAGGACCGAAAGGAGCCGTGCCGAAAACGGTAAAACTTCAAACCCATCGGCTCTCGATCATTCGATCCTCGATCCTTCGAGCCAGTGGCCAGACACCCACCTCGTCGAAGGATCGATCCTTCGCGACCCTGTGCGATGCTTCTCGATCCTTGGATCCTCGACCTCGATCCCTCGACGAAGTGGCCAAACGAGGCCGGCGCGCCCGCTGCTCGGACGGGGGCCGGCCAGCCGCATGGGGCGAGGGGGGCGCGAGGGCGGCGGCGCTTGGCCTGCCGCTCGGAGCCGCGCATCGCCAGCAGCTGGCGGAGCCCGTCTGGGAGGATACGGCGGCGGCGGCGACGACTACGGCGAGGGCGGACGACGGCGCTGACGATGAGGGCGGCGGCGGCGACGGCGACGACGACGGCGGCGGTGATGGCGGCGACGGCGACAATGATGACGACGGCGGCGACGACGACGGCGACGGCGACTTGTCGCCATGGCTGCAAGCAGCTCAAAAAGCATGCCAGGATGGTCCCCAGAAGGGTTCCTGGGATGGATCCTAAGTGGATTACCGACGACGACGACGACGACGAGGACGACGACGACGACGACGACGAGGACGACGACGATGACGACGACGGCGAGGACGACTCTCATCGCAATCGAGAGCGTGATCACAGCCGAACCCTCTGGCTTCTCGATCCCCTCCTCCTGCTTCTTCACTCACTCCTCCTCCAACTTTCTCCTCCTCCTCCTCCTCCCCATCATCATCATCATCATCATCATCATCATCATCATCATCATCATCATCATCATCATCATCATCATCATCAGCATCAGCATCAGCATCAGCATCAGCATCATCATCATCATCATCATCATCATCATCATCATCATCATCATCATCATCATCATCATCATCATCATCATCATCATCATCTTCGTCATCATCATCAGCATCATCATCATCAGCATCAGCATCATCATCATCATCATCATCATCATCATCAGCAGCATCAGCAGCATCAGCATCGTCATCATCATTATCATCATCATCATCATCATCATCAACATCAACATCGTCATCATCATCATCAGCAGCAGCATCATCAACATCGTCAGCATCATCATAGTCGTCGTCATCGTCATCATCATCATCATCAGCATCATCATCATCATCATCATCATCATCATCATCATAACCATCATCGTCAGCAGTATCAGCATCATCTTCTTCATCATCATAATCACCATCACCAGCACCAGCAGCACTACCACCATCATCATCAGCATCATCATCATCAGCAGCATCATCTTCATCATCATCATCATCATCATCATCATCGCCATCATGATCATCACCAGTATCATCAAGATCATCATCGACATCATCAACATCAGCATAATAATACGCATCATCACCAGCATCACAGTAATCATCAGCATCACCATCATCACCACCATCATCAGCATCATCATCACCACCATCACCATCACCATCACCATCACCATCACCATCACCATCACCATCATCTTAATCATCATCATCATCATCATCATCATCATCATCATCATCATCATCATTATCAGCATCATCATCTTCCTCATCATCATCTTCATCCTTATCCTCATCCTCATCCTCATCCTCATCATCATCCTCATCATCATCATCGTCATCGTCATCGTCATCGTTGTCGTCAACATTATCGTCATACTCATCATCATCATCATCATCATCATCATCATCATCATCAGCATCACCAGTCTCCTCCGAATCGCAGTCTGGTTATGTCACTATCCCTTCCTATATTTGCGACCCCGATTGAAGGTTTCGCGACAAAACCTTCACGGAGCATGAGGTGGGATTTAGATGAGCAGTTAGCCACTCTCAGCACCATCGGCTTCAAAGACACGTCCTACGGGGGCCAGGAGGGTAGTGGGGTCGCGGCAGGGGTCCACAGGGGCATCCGAAGGCTCAGGCTGGCGGTGTCCGCAGATGTGGTGAATGAAATTTCGCAGCGCTCCTAATTCCCAACCGCCCTGTGGTGTTGGGTCCTCATTTTGAAGTGAGAGCGCCCTGCGTTCCTCTCCTCTCTTCTCCTCTCCTCCTCCCCCTCCTCCCCATCCCCTCCTCCCCATCCTTGCCTCGGCCCTCCGCATGTTTCTGTTCTGGCACATCCCTCACACGTTTCGTGGCCCCATCATGGGGCTCCACCGAGACCCCACTGGCACAGTCCGCATGGCGTACCCGCACCCGATTCCGCACACCCCTTACATGCTCCGTGGCCCCTTAGGGAGCTCCACCGAAGGCCCCACTGGCACAGTCCGCATGGCGTATCCGCACCCGATTCCGCACACCCCTTACACGCTCCGTGGCCCCTTAGGGAGCTCCACCGAAGGCCCCACTGGCACAGTCCGCATGGCGAACCCGCACCCGATTTGGCACCCCCCTTACACGCTCCGTGGCCCCATGGGGAGCTCCACCGATGGCCCCAGAGGCACAATCCGCATGGCATATCCGCACCCGATTTGACGCACCCCTCACACGGTTCGCGGCCCCATAAGGTGGCTCCTCCGAAGGCCCCAATGGCACAGTCCACGTGGCCTATTCGCACCCGATTCGGCACACCTCTCACACGCCACACGCTTCGTCAAGCCATAGGGGGCTCCACCTGAGGCTCCAGTGGCACAGTCCGCATGGCGTGCCCGCACCCGATTTGGCACGCCCCTCACACTCCTCGTGGCCCCATAGAATCTCCACCGAAGGCCCCAGTGGGACAGTCTGCATTGCGTACCCGCACCCGATCTGGCTCATCCCTCACACGTTTCGTGGCCCCATAAGGAGCTCCACCGAAGGGCCCATCGGCACAATCCGCATGGCGCACCCGCATCCGATCCGGCGCAATCCTCACACGCTTCGTGGCCCCATGGGGAGCTTCACCGAAGGCCCCAGCGTTACAGTCCGCATGGCGTACCCGCACCCGATTCGGCTCACCCCTCACATGTTTCGTGGCCCCATAGAAGCTCCACCGAATGCCGCCGCGGCACAGTCCGCATAGCGCACCCGCACCCGATTCGGCACACCACTCACACGTTGCAAGCCCCAGTGGCAGCGCCCGCATGGCGACCCCTTGTCGGCACACTCTTCACACGCTTCGTGGCCCCATAAGGAGATCCACCGAAGGCGATAATTACCCACAATGAACGTACTCACAACTGCATATGGTTGGGTCCTTCGCCTGGATGTTGTTGTTGGGGGGAACTTTGCCAGCGCCTCCGACAAGCGCGATGGCTGCATTTGCGGGGGGCGCCCTCTCGCGATGGTTGCGATTGCCAGAATGCGCCGTCCTGCCATACAACAGCCGCAATGCAATTGCGATCCCAATCTACGGCGAACGCGACTCCCCTGAACAGCCGGGCAATTCGATGAGAGAACGAAATGACAATTCAAATCCCCGTCGCCACTAAGGGCGCCGCGAAGGGTCCCTCGACGGGCCTAAAAAAACACCCAAACCGATGAAACAAATATCTGTCTTGAGACGTACCAGCACTTTTTTCACCGAGTCGTCATTCAGATTTCACTGAATTCCCACTGCGTGTTCGTTGCGGTGTTCGTTGTGTTTCTCCTTCGTGCTTTCGCGGCGTCTCTCCGCGTTCACACTGTCTCTGGAACGCAGAGTCGGCATTGTATGAGACTGGTCGAGAGGGGGAAAGCATACGTCTTTCTGTGCGAGCGCCCTGGAGATGCCAACATCACCTGTGCCCGTCATCGACGGGCTGAAAGCTTAAAAAGGCTATGACAGACACAAAGAGGGGGAAAGAGAAGAGGTAAGAGAGGACAGCGGGACTACTTTCAGTGGGTCTGACATAGCCAAGAAATTACTCTCCCGCCCCCCGGACTGCCCGTCTCCCGACTCTGAAAGATCTGAACTAGCTCTTAGTAGGGCCTCCTTCGAGGCTCTCCTGGAACGAGACTTGAGAGAATTGTTTAAGGAGCGTTCTGACATGTGGCCTTCTTCATCCACAAGAATCATGGCTCCCTTGGACAACAGATCGGTCAGAGCCAAGTTGCCACGTGCTGGATCCGCCTTCGTAAGCGCGTCAGCAGCCATTCGACCATGAGGAACCCATCTGACTTGAGAACCTACAGCGCTCATACTGTCTCGCACTACTGCAAGCTCGATACTGTTCCTTCGGTCGGCTCTCGACCCGGCCGAATTCTTCGATAGAGCGTCGAAAATGGATTTCGCACCAACCGCGGAGAGAGTCTGCACTCCTTCCGAGAGAGTACAATCACGGCTCAAAACAACGGAGAAAGGAATCTGCGACAGATGCCAGTCTGGGCGACTGACGTCGCCGAACACAAGGTCCCTCCACAGGATGGACAGCCACTGGGCCTCGGCGAGGGCGGTAGAGAGCGACAATGTCTCTGCAGCTCCGGTAGACGCAACCACCCTCTTTAACCTAGTCGATCTCCAGCTTAAAAGGGAAACGCGAGACCTTCTATTCTGCCTTATGGCCGGATCGGCCGCTAGGACCAACCACCCTCCCTGGGCCCCGTTTCTTCGAGCGGACCCCGGGCCCCCGGCGTCGGAAACAGTCGCGAAGCTCATCGAGCTCGGGTCCAGGGGCCACAACGCTATCTTCTGACTGGCGGTTCCCTTGAGATGCTTGACTATCTTGATACGCAACATTGCGTCACTGACCGTGGGCGACGGGAGGGCGGCACTCTGAATGGAGGCCCCTGCCGACACGTCCGGCCGGGATTCCCGACCTAGCCACTGAATCTGGGCCACCATCGTTCTGTACAGCTTAATCTCCTCGGGGGTCAACGGCGCCTCGGGGTCCGAGCGCCTCTCCTTAGCTAACCGCATGGGGGTAAGTTGTTCTAAGATGTATTTCTCTTGGTCTATGAAGATTTTCTGGCCCACTTGTTTCACGTGTCTCCCGGCAAAATCGGCCTCCCCGGTCTCCCATTTGCCGAACTTGAACCTACCTTGGAGCCTATCCTTCAGACCCTGGCGCTCCGCAGGAGCACTCGCCACTATAAGGTCGTCCACCTCAATGAGTATCAAGGAGCGGATCTCCCCTTGAGACGACCTCTTGACCCACAGGCAGGGTTCTAAAAGGGACATGCTGAAACCGTCTTCTGAGAGCCATTGGGCGAGGGTCCGGTGCCAGAGGAGAGGTGCGTCATTCAGACCGCACACTGGGGCAATGAGCTCGATGAGCTCACCTGGTCCCAAATTCAGTCCTTGGCACGGCTCGCAAAAGATCGACCCCTTGGGACGATGAAGTCGGTCTGACTGACAGAACGCGTTCTTGCAGTCA